GGTATATTTATGTTTAGAAAATGTTCCCCAATTTTCGATTAATTTTGAGCCAGCTCAGCCATTGTATTAGCGTTTGGGGATTACAGTCTACAAGATGTATAATTTCTGCGTAAAAAAGTCGCATAAGTCTTTATGCCTTAAGGACGTTATCGTGTAGAATTCATAAAGTTTGCAATGGATGCTGAATATATTGTATACTTAATGATGAACCTACATGAACTGACAGGACCGATGCTGTATGAGTCGACACTGCACGGCCTAAGAAATCGCGTAACTGGAAAGCTTTTTGCAGCCGAAGGATACTCAGGGATCATGTTTGAGGATGAAGTGATTTGCTATCAAATGAGTAAAACGAAGCGTATTTTCTGCTTGCTTTCTATAAAAGATATTTGAATCTATAATGCATCAGTGTGAAGAATGCATACGAACTAAGCATTAATTATATACCGACTGCAAATTTTGCAGATTGCGCCGCATGATAATTAATATAACAATCCCGCCTAAGTGATCCTTCCTAATTCAAAAGGCATTTCCGAATTTCGGCCAAGATTTCATGAGTCCAAGCACTCACTTTTTGTTCACTGAAAATGCCGGAACAGCATTCCATTAGTAAACACAAATCACCTTCATTGACCAGTGTGATTACTGATCACTCAACAAGTAAGTGTACTATGCTTTTATAGACTTCGCCCTACGTAGGTTTATGCGTAAGTGAGCATTTTATTTGGATCAGGTTCATTTTGTCGCCCAAAAAAGGAATTAATCGGCTGTTTGTGCACGAAACTTCTTCCTGGATGAAATGTAAATTCTATACGTGACAGTCACCCTATTCGATTTTCCGATAGTAACAACTTGTCGGCAATTGTTACCATACATAGACTTATCCCTTAATTTTCTGAAGAAGATAAATTTGCGTAAATTAGAACTTTCTCAATCTTACACGGATAGTTACCATAATTTTATTTTTCTAAAAAGCCAACAAGCCTTCCCTGAATTCTGCTCATCTGACAGCCACCATTCGACGCTAGCCAATTTCCCCTTCTACCTTTACACCTGATCACATGGTCCATCACTCAGATGAAACCTTTCATTTTGAAACCTCGCTAAGAATTGGTAATCGCTGAAAGTTTCCGATTGCAGATTCTGAATCCACCTCCAAGGCGCAGACTTGCGTCTTTGTTCGAAAAAAGAGCTCGCTCCTTCATCTCCCCAAATAAGATCGATCACACCTGACTAAACGGATACAATTAGACGAACGAAATGCTATCCCAGGCAAACATTTGCCAGTTTTCACCCCAAATTCTCAAATTTATTTGAGCTTTACGGCAAAGAAACCTGCCATCTCACCCACGCTTAAGATGTTTGCAAGTAACCAGGTTAACAATTAATTCTAACCCAACTACTTGAAAAACTCCAACGGTAACTAATACCTTTCTCTGTATTGACGGTCTTTAAAACAAACCTGTCCTTTTTTAAAATTAATGTCTCCCTTCATATTGTTTCAGCATCGCTAAAACCATGTTTCAGAACTCCTCCTATATTTCCGATTCTGCAAAATAATATGCTTTCTTATGCATCCTACCTCAACTTTTCTCTGTGCAATAACGCATTTATAGCTGACGATAGCATTCCCATAAATTATAGACCCCAAATATTTTTCATATAATCTCTTACTTCTTCCCAACAGTTTATTATTCCTCCATCAGCTCTTCCTTTTTATGAAAAGTAAGGGGTCTGACCTGTTTTTCAGGAATCCGCTTAATATTATCCCTCTCAATGAGAGATGACCCAGCTACTTGATAGGTTTGACTAAGACGTTTGGTGCAATAAAGTAACCTTGCGCAATTTCTAATGCTTAACCCCACCATCAATATCATAAAGTTCAGTTTCTACCGACAGGCCTGCGCTGGCAAACGTGGCGACGGTGGTTTCGTCTACATGTATTTCTCTCCTATGCATTTGCCTACTTATCGGAGAATTTGCTTCGCTTCTGGATAGGTATGTTTTGTGTCAGCCAATCTGCCTTAAAATGCTAAAGCGTCAATCAATTTTGTACATAATCCACCTTCTAATTCCGTTAATGAAAATCTGTCTATCAGGAATCCGCTCAATATTATTCCTCTCAATGCGAGTTGGCCCAGCTTGACTAAGAAGTTTAGTGCAATAAGGTAACCTTGTGCAATTTTTAATGCTTGACCCCACCCTCGATCGGAGAATTTCTTTCGCTTCTGTCAGCCGATCTGCCTCAAAATAATTACGCGTTAGTTAATTGTGTATATATTCTACCATTTTATTCTGTCAATATAAACCAACTTTTTGAACTACTTAAAAAGGTCGCAAAGACTACGTTTGGTGTCAAAATAATCCTCGGCGAATCTAATTTAACAGAAATAAACCGACATACAAATACATGCCCACCCAAACACCAGACAGTTATGGATACCATTCATTTTTCAAAGCGGCCCGAATTGGTGCACTCATCAACCAGAAATTCTGGCGTACTTGATTAAATGATTAATAATGGCATCCAACTTTTATTCATAAATTTCCACCGTGACTTTTTTGCAAGCAATCACGAATTGCTTCCTTATTGCCTTCTAGTTTCTCTCTCTGTAAATCCCACGGTAAAACGTAAC